TCATAAACGTGCTGGACGAATTGTACACGAAGAAGTTGCATGTTACGATCTGGAAATAACCGGGAAACAAATGTACATAATTTACCACTCTCGCCATTGCAAGTCTGACCCAATCCCTCGTTTTCAGACTCAGTGCAGTGAGTACACCGTATTCTGCCATGGCGGAGGGGGTCACTAAGCGGCAACTTAAGGGAATGTGTTGTATTTTTGGACCATCTTTGCCCCGGTGACCGAGACATTATGGTACGACCAAGTCATGCTTTCCATGATCAATAATCTGGACCATACGACCCGAAAGGACGCGATGGGACGAACATGTCCGCTTTTCCGTCGCTTTGGCCAGCAAACATCGTCTGACGGTGACTGGTCCACCATGCTCGCGGTACGCATATTATACCTTTCAACCGTTACTAATTTCTTGACACAGGATATAGGTATCCTACTGTACCGACTTATAGGACGATAATCTGTCCTTGCTCCTGTCTTACACGGAGGCGCCTATGAGGTTCAATCGTCGTATTGGCGTATCACCGGGTGCCACTATAGGTGTATTGTGACGAGCCACGTCGTGTAGTGTGGGATTGCTCGAAATCGCTCTCATGCATCCTTTTTGGCAAGATTCTATCCGTTGAGAGCTCGAGGCTTCTAAGTACATTGCTATCCCTGGTTCCAAGACTGATCCAATCCCCATAACGCAATACAGGCATTCCGCTTCTGCACCGACATCGAGCCTCGTCCATTGTGTTCGTGGAGCATGTATCTACTATGGAGTCACCCACCCGCTGAAGAGGTAACAGGAATCTTGACCAAAAGTCCTGTGAGTTTCCTGTGGCGTATCTTCTTGTTGATCATCTATTCATGACTTTCTCCGCAGGCATCCCGCCTACCGTTTGTTATGAGTATACAAGTGCTCCATCACGGCTAGACCCTCCATATTCACGGATTGTTCTCGCCCGCCCCACTCTAGAGCGGGCGATGGCTTTCGAAGTCACCCTGCAATGCACCCTGCAATGTGCTTCGTCAGACTGGGAACTAACCCCCCCGAGAGGCACCAACAGGACTCTTCGTTCGTTCATGGCGGTCTCGATCGGCAGCGCTGTTACTCTAGCCGGCCATATCAAATCCACTAAGGATGTCCGAAGTTGATGTTGTTTCCTGCTCCCAGACGTTCATAAGTCTTTCTTGACCGGGCGCCCGCTCCTCCATCAACAATCCGCGATACGCTAAGCGTCAGGATCTGAGGACGCTGGCCCCGCTCGTTGCAGGTTGCGCATTATACAGGTCTTATCTAATGGATGCTTATTCACCCATCGCAAATTCCATTACATCTTTACAAACCTTCTCCCGACCTTGCGTACATCCGGTTGTAGCGCATAAGGCGAGACGACCAACGCATCGATGTCTAGGTCCATAGGCCCCAATGCCCGAGCGGTGCCACTGGGAGAACTCCATCCTCTTACTTGGACGATCGTCGACCCTCCTACCGACCATATGCGTTGGTGTCCGCGCAACATCGGCTACGCTGTCAAGCATTTGCCATCTCTCGCACGGCTTTCATCCAAAATCGGAGACGCGACAATCACGTTGCGGTTCCCCGAGCACCCACAACTTGTGATATCATTCATTTGGCAACTACCGGGTTCCTTCTTGCACTCTCAAAGCTTCTTTTGGCTGACATGTGGACGATTGAAACTTAGTTTCGTCCATACTCGTCCATCCATGTCAGTCAGCGTTTGTGGGCTAGGCAGTTCCCATTGGGTTTTACGGTCTAGGCCTGCTGCTGTTGTCGTATCTGCCTCGTCCGTGCCACCTTTCCTCTATCTATGAAGCACGTATACCCAGCGGTTGCTGCGCCTTTCGCACTCACTCGCACCTGTCGATCCGGATGCCTATCTGTCATGACAACATTGCAAACGCACACTCAAGTCGCCTTTTGCCTAGAAGATTGCGAGAAGCTAACCATTACTTCGTGTCTTCACTGGTGAAGTCATTGCAATTTTGTGACGTTCCTTATTGATCGCGTAGGAAATCTCGCCCCCTGGCGTTCCCCGATTTCATTCTGACGAGAGCTTTCGAGGTCTAGACCGCATGATCTGAGTCATGATTCAATCGTCGGTCAGGAAACGAAGCGGTGGTCCTCGGAATCTTCCCAACGGCATTCATCCATAGAACAACCGCACAATGCTCATACTCCGTAATGAAACGCAGCCAACACCTTATCGCTCTCGTCCGGCGTCGGTCCCGTTCAACAATGTCGACGCAGATCCTCAAACATTGGAACCCTTGCCCAACGTCGTAAGCGACGACGACAGCCGTTGCGAACGATTGCCACGTGCAGAGTTGTGTACAGTAAATGTAAGAAGATGATACGTTTACTAGCCCAAACACGTGTGACATTCTTATAGAGCGATTTCGAGGGACGTGATGGGCGGTGGTCTAGTCCAACGATGGCGGGCAGTTGGGGACCACCGAACTCAGGCATCAAAATGGCCGGTTCCAGCGCTTGGGCGCGCTTGCCCCATAATGGCCACCACGCCTCCTGCACGATGCATCGTCAAATGTTCTGGAAGGCAAAGAAGTGGTCTTCTGCCTGATTCCAAGTATATGCGCGAAATCAATCACGGATTTTTACCTCAAAAACACCAGTATAGGTCTGTGCTTATAGCGCTGTCTTTACCTGATTGGACCCTGTTAACCCGAGTTCTTACCCAAGGACCTGCAATTCACTGGTGCGTCCCAGCGGAGTTTACGGATGTACACAAGAATAATTCAGCTGAAGATGTCGGCTATTTTCGTCGTGTCTCTAGCGTTGCATTTTGGTCACAATTGTTTCTAGGGCCCACAAGCCCACCTAGCCGGCGGAGTCCAGATCGTTTCAGGACCTCAATGTCGTGGACACCGCTTTTGCGACATGCATCGGATATATAAAGGACACTCACTCCCCGATACCAGGTTTCCTCACAGCAGTTTTGGGCGTACAGGTACATCCAGTGTCCTGTTCTGTTTGAGTTTACGACCTACCATCCTCGGTGACGCTCTTGTATCAAATTCTTTAACGACCACTTCCTTGTCTTTACTCGCCCATCCTCACGAACCATCTTCATGCCCTTGATGCCTTCCATCTTCCGCAACTTCTTCGGCGGGTCTAGCTCCCAACAATCTACACCACCCACACCCTCCTACGGCGGCGTTCCTTCATCCAAGTCTCACACTCGTTCTGGCTCCCTACCATCGACGCGTATATATGCGTCCCCTCCCACTCCTCAGGCTGGAAGTACATCAGGTCTTCCACCGCGGACTACGGCTCCCAACATGCAACGAAGCTACAGCTACTCGAATACTCCCCACGCCAACCCGTCCCCTCTGAGGTACGCTACCGGGACAGAATCTACTAGGACCGATACCAGGACCACTTATGGCTACGGCAGACGCGCACCTAGCAGCCACGACAGTCATGGTTCAAGAACTCCTGCTCAGCCACGACCGAGTGTTCTCAGACGTGAGAGCTCGCCCCGCCGTGAAGCTGGTACGTTCACTTGAGGTTTACAGCCTACTCAGCTATGTGGCTAACCTACCGTGCTCACAGTTCACCATCCCCACTTCGCACCTCCTAGTGCGCCATCGTCTTCTCACAGGACACCCCCGAGCTCGCGCTCCAACTCGAGCTCTTCTCTGTTTGGCATGGGCGCCGTACCTATGTCCACGACAGGCTCGGATACTGGCCACTACTACTCAAAAGAATCCATTGGTCGCAGCAGCAGCCGACCTCCTCTCACTCGGTCTAATCACACATGGCATCCTGGCAGCAGTGCTGGAAGTGCCTCTTCGCGTAAGTGGTCTCAATTGCATGTTTGCGTGATGTATTGTTAATCAAATTTGCGCTTAGTGGGCTCTTCTTATGGTCAACTGCCTACGCGACCTGCAGCATACGCTCAGGCTCATCCTCGTACTCAAGAGTTGCATATGCATCCCTTGCTCGCATACACCCGACTTCACCGGGCCCCTATCACTTACGATGTGATGTTCACTCCATCCGCTCGTACTGTCCTGGATCGCACAACCCATTCGGCGATCCCCTCGCATACATTGTCCCAACCCGCGACAGATCCCCCAACCCCCTCCTCTTCTCGCCTCGTGCTTCGCTCGCACAAGTTCCCCTGGCCGGTTGTCATTGGCCCCTCAGGTCCGCGCTTCACTATCGGCTCGTCAAAACGGAGTAGGACCTCGAGCGCAGATGCGATCACCATCCTTGATGTTCTGTACGCTGTACACACGACCCTACTTATGCCCGTCACCCCCGACGAGTGGGACGCTCTTGGCCACGGCAGTCGTGCCCAGCAGAAGGTGACCAAGGCGTACGAGAAGCGATGCACTCGTATGGGCGGAGGATGGGAGGGAGGCGTGAAGAGGATCGACTGGCTCGGTTCCAAGACCAGATTGATCGGCGTGGAGGTCGAGAAGAGCGCTGGAAAGCCTGGCACAGGCAAGCTGGTCTTTGGTAAGGCTTAATGAGCCTCCCTCGGGCTATCAACCCGAGGCCCCCTCGCTGTTCTTACCTGGCAGTTTGGGGGTCACGTCTACAAAACTTTATCGTTTGATTCGTTATTTTTTGATATGTCGCCCGGACATTTGTCGTCGCTCTCCGCTCTGCTGTCGCTGTCGCTGTACTTTATCCTTCATGCATCATGACGTCTTCTGGCTCGGTTTCTCGCGGATATTTGTACCATATCTCAAGTCTTCCGGACTATTATCACAGCAGAACTTCTGGGATATTTGTACTATACACGAATATTCGCTGTGCTCGTAGTTTCCTCATGCAAACATTCAATATGCCTCATGCAACGAGATATTATCATAGCTGCTTCAAAGCTGCCTCCCGCACAATTTGGCGAAGTTTTGGTATCGTTCAGGCTCTGCGGTGCACAAACGCACTTATATGTGAACCACAGCCTAGATCAGCCGTGGGAGTTGTGGGGAGCAAAAAAAAGGCATAAAAAGAGTTCCCTCTAGGCGACTCGAACGACTGACCTCGTCATTATTACATAAACATGTTCACGTGAATACTAGTGACGCGCTCTACCAACTGAGCTAAGCGGGACTTGTAATCTGTTAGTGCATACGTCATTGTATTGACGTTGCGCCTCTCAGCGCAACCCGCACACTGGTAACTTGAAGTTAATTCTGTCAATGAGTGACTCCATCAGCAATCGGAGCCGGCTCTGAAAAAGGCTCTCCAGCTCTGAACAGGGCTCGCCAGCAATGGCCAGTCATGGCCATTCTTGTGATTCTCTGAGTAGTGGTGCTAACTGACCTCGACACTGACCATTCAGACCAGTCTGGTGAGTTTGGCCAGTCTGGCGAAGCTGGTCAAACCTCGCCAGACATGAGATGGGTTTGCCATGGTGGACCGGAATAGTCAGATCTTTTGCGGGGCGGCAATACATATTCGGATGGATGTACACACACGTGGATGGACTGGAAGCAAACCCGATCACTATTATGATTATGGTAGGCTAAAGAATACATTGCGCAGGCCAACCCCATTCCCTCCGTAGTCCTATGCTGCCACCGTCCGAGTCACCGCCATCCCTTAAGCACTGGCGTGAGTTTGCTGCCGAATCAATGCGAAGTCGTCGTCGCCACTATCATTGCCATCGTTGTCAACATTGGCCGCGGCCGCGGCGAACGAGCTGAATACCTGTCTATCAGGATGTAAGAACGATTGAATCATCCGAAAGAATCTTCGAGCTTACTGATTATAGTACGCGAGAGTGACTTCGCCCATTCGCCGTCTGGGTCGGATTCAAACATATTGACCAGCTTCAGATAAAAGGCTTCGCTGTCGAAGCCGAAATTGTCGATGACAGCCCAGGAATCAAAACTGGTCAGCATATATCTGGCCTGGAGAAAATGTAATGAGATAGGGTGACCGTTGCAGAATGTTCTCTGACCTGAAAAGCAGCGTATGCGACTGTGTGTGGCGTTGCTGCATAAAAGTGGTTCTTCTTGGCATTGCATGGTGGACCGAGTTTATGTGCCGGGCCTTGCTCCATTGCAGTGGCTGGCCCCGTAAAGATTGAACGGTAAACCTGTTGAGTTACCGACACAGATATGATTCAGTGCAAGCTTTCATGTGGAGATTGACCAAAGTACTCACCCGAAGAACCAGATAACCCTTGAGGAGACCGTCTCGGATGTCATTAGGATTGTACGGACGATCGTAGAGAAATGCCGGAAGAAGCTTGTGCGTTGCCTTAATCCGTTGTTCATCAAGCAAGCGCCGCGTGCTACAGACTTGTCAGAATGTGGCTTTGAGAAGCTGATAAGACTCACTTGTCTGGGTCGGCATCGTAGTCAGCAGAAAAGCGATGGGGACAGAGCAACTTCGCAGTGAGAGGGTGTTTGAATCCGCGAAGTGCTTTACTGGTGTTGCTGCCAGTGTCGATGGGTGGGTTGATCGGAGTCAAACGTTCTGGCGTAATCCAAGCAATGCCTGCATTGCGAATTGAGGCCGTGTCGTCAGAGCGAGCACCGATGTATGCAGAGCTCATCTATCATGATATGAAAATATTATATTATCATATTATTATGAAGACGATCGTATGGAATGAAAACACGTACCATATTGGTGAGGTGGGCCATGCCCTCAGGGTCCTCGCAGAACTCATTTGAGTCAAGTAAGCCGCGCAAGGTAGGCGTCGCGGCAAGTATTTTCTTGTACACAGTATAATGACGGTTGCGTAACTCCGTTGACCTTGCTCGTGAATGTGATCAGCGACGAGCGACAATTTAAAGTAGTGTTCCGAAATACGTTACATTGCTTTCACTTCAGGGTCTTCGTCAATGGATTCACCTTCGACAGTCACACCAACACGAAAGACCATGGTGAGATTGAGGAATGGATCATGCGCACGGGCGGCCCAACGTGCAGCTTGTGTGTAAGTTTTTATTGGGTTCTTGGTTGCAACCTTGCTGTTAGCAGTCATCAGCGAATGATATTATTGCACGTAACTTAAAAAGGCAGCTACATACCCTCCGTTTGTTTTAGCATGCTTTTGCCCAAGTGCTTCAAGTAGTTCAGATGCATGTCGCTTGCGTGCAATTACAGCTGGGCTGTTGTCAGTACCGTGCGGATCTTCGGGATGCAGGGGAGCGTTCTGCGCCATTAGAGGGAAATAAAGTTGGAGGATATCAAGAGAGAGGAGAGCGAAAGGCGGGAAAGGGTGAGAGAGACAAAAGAAGACAAAATCGTCGGGAGTCGCTGCAACGTGTTTATCAACCCATCAGCAGCTGACATAATCGTGAAGAATCGATGGGTTTCTGACCTTTTCACCACATCTTACTGGTCGTTGCTGAGCTTCATCATGATAACGACCTTGCCGTGAAATGTCAGTGATTGCCAGACGTGATGCGTACCCATGTGGAACATGATAACGGGCTTACATGTTCAACGTTCATCTCCCAGACCGCCACAGTCCTCCGACTCCCAAGCCATTCACCACCAGCACGTCCGCACATCTTCAACAGCAATGTCAAGTGATCATGACTATTTGCCGTCACAGCCTCTTGGAGACAATTGGGAGCATGAGGATCCTATAGTTCGGGACCGTGCTGGGATTCGTCGAGTCAAAAAAAGCTCTAAGGCAAATATTGCAAGGTAGGATGAACATTTGGCGAGCAGTATGGAAATACTCACATTGCTGGCAGATTATATGAGACTGGTGGTGCACTAGAC